CCCCAAAACCCCAAAACCCCAAAACCCCGTAATAATTGATATAGAAAAATAGAGAGGACTGTAAAAATTTTTGTAAAAATTATGATAAATAATAAATCTATTAAAGGCTTAAAGCTTCCTTCCTGTTTCGATATTATAAATTAATTAGACTGATGCAGTAAAAATTAAGCATTCATAGATGTGAATAAGATTTCGAACCTAATGACTTCCTGCTATTTCAAAATGATTAAAGAAGAAGTAGCCTTATTGTTGATGATTAGAATATATTGCACAATATCGAAGCCGAGTTAAAGTACATAACCACTGCAAGAATCACAATATTAAAAAAAGAAGCTCCGGAGAAGAGGACTATAAAGCCTTAATGCAAGATTTATGAGTTTAAACAGTATCTCTACTTTAAAGATGATGATTCTGATTGGGACTTAACTATTGACATTGACCTAGCTTATGCAAAAATAAAATATAAAATTGATTAATTCAAGATAAATGATATAGCATAAATTATTATCGAGAAAAACAATACCGTCTTGACATTAGAAAATAAAGACAGATGTTTATTGAATGAAGGAAGAATTGATAAATTTAACAAAGACTTTCTAAAAAATATGAGATATAAACTAGATTTTTATTGTATTTGGAACTATGACCCTATAGAGTTTGAGTTTAGAAAGAAATTAGGAAGTGGATCCTCAGGAATCGTTTACCTTGTGAAAATCAATTAGTAGAAATCATTTAAAGTAACATGTGGAAAATATGCACTGAAAGTAATTAAAAAGCAGTATATGAATAATTTAAAAACAAATGCACTTGCCAACGAGATTCAAATATAAAGAAAATTAAGGCAATCTAATTAAATCGCTTAGATGCATAGAATATATGAGGATTAAAACAATATTTACCTCCTTTTAGATTATCTAAAAGGAGGTGATATCAGAAATCTTATTAGATAGAGAGAAGTTTTGAGCGAGAATGACTGTCGATTTATAATATTTTAGATTCTCTAGTGCTTGGAAAGTTTGCAAAGCTAAAATATAATCCATAAAGATATCACCCCTCAAAATATTCTATTAGAGTAAAAAGTAGGAGATTAAGTATAATCACATAATAGAGTATATTTAGCAGATTTCGGGCTATCTGTTTAGTTGAAGAACACTAAAAATTAATAATTTAATAGAAGTGGGACACCTGGATATATCGCCCCAGAGATTCTTAGAGATAATTACCATAATTTGAAAAATGATTTATTCAGTAT